AATATGCCGGAATCAGTGTCCATCTCAAACTATGCACATGACAAACACACAAATCTGATCTCTTCTCTACATTAATACAGAGAGATCCAGCATGTCCGATCTCTAAGTAGAAAAATCCTATCTTAGACCTAAGATTCACAACTGGAATATTATCAGCCGATGTTGTTGAGCAGGTGTCACCAAACAATGGCCCGCGGGCCGGATCCGGCTAGGACATTACTTCATCCGACCCGCCAGCAATACTCCTAGTTGAGGCCTCAAATCATCATCGAAGCTACTATACTAACTCTGTGTTTACGGCCTTCTTTTGAAAGTACTTGCTGGCCTCACTCTGAACGCGCCATGCGATTTTACCACCACACCCCAGCCATGTTTGACCTTTCCACATAGCATATCATTTTCAACAGTTTGAGCGGTACTCGGCTCGTTACCCACTCACAAGGACCGCTCTCTGCTACTCCGCACTTCTCACGGTAAGCTTGGCAGCGTTTGACGCTTCTCTATCCTGAAAGCCAGCTGGACTCCACTCGCCTGCTTACTTGTTAGTCTGCACGTGACACGCGCGTTAGTATCGTTCACACAAGCACAGCGCGGCGCACTGTGGCGTTCATGCGGCTCTCTTTGTCACAGATTCAAGCGGCCTGTAAGCAAGTCGGCGTGGCGTGGTAACCCGTACGAACACCGCTTGTGGTGATACGTATGTCACGGTCTCCAGTACGCAACTACAGCCGAACCCGTTCTATTGCCCACCCTCGGGATATGACAAAAGTGTGCAATAAAGCGGAGTGGGCAATTAACTGATTTGGTCATTTTTTCCAAAAGGGAAACAACCATTGAATGATTGTACAGTACATCACTTGAATTGTGATCTGCTAAGGAGGGTAAAATACCTAGTTGTAACTAGAGCCTACATAAGACGTTTATTCAGAAGAACATGACCTAGAATTTAAAAATTATAGCATACAGCATCTTACCTGGATAGCTATAGAAACTGGCGCTACTGTGTATCTTTACTGAGTAAAGAATCCAGCGTCAGTTGTACATTATTTTGAGCTGCTACTGCAGTCAATATTGCACTGATGAAGTCCAATTGGGACAAGAAATCGTCACCTAGCCCAGACGGAAATTCGTAGCTATACTGATCATTCACAAAAATTTTTTCTCTTGAATGCGACACACGCAGGTTGTTATTACTCACGGAAGCATGTGGTACGTCATCCTTTGAGTCACTGCCCCCTTCCTGTTCTACTCGGTTCTCTAAAGTGTTGCTGCCAATTTCACCTTCAATAGTTGTCAGATCAGAGGTGCAGTCCACATCATTGTCAATGGTGACGAACTATACTGCATTGATGACTGGGATTGTGCAAGCGCTGATCTCGGCCTCAGCCATGACGACGTCATCAAGAAGTGCAGCAGATGACAGTCAACTGAAGCCAGCATGCCGAAAGCAAACTTTTATTGTTGTGCGATAACCAGTCTCCAACATTTTGCAACAAGCCGACTTGCATCGTGTACAGAAGTCTTGGCGCTGACATCCACCGCCGACGGTGAGCCAGATAACAAGTTGTCTTCGATGTGAGAAAGAATTTGGTTCACAATTTCCTTCCTGTAACGAATTAATGGGTTCATACTCACACCATTGTCTATAGGTCGAAGAAGGCTGGTCGTGTTTGCCAGCGAAAATTCCATTTAAATACTTTTCAGGCCTACTACCTGTGGATGCGTTGTGCAATTATCTATGAAGCAACTTAATTTTTCGGCCACTTTGGCCTAGCTCCCTGTCCCATTCGAGGACCACTCGGTATAAAGTTCCCTTGTCAACCACGCATTTGTGTTAGCTAAGTTAGGGGAAGTGTGTCCACGTCTCCGCTATTAAAACATCGTCGTTTCTTACTTGTTCTAATCAAAATCCAGTTTTCTTTTATTCGTGTCTGACATAGTGGCGCAGCACAGAAGAGTGATCCTAACCATGACGTTTTCGTTGCTCTGAGCTTGTCGACATAAAAACACAAAGAGCCCTATGGAGTTGCTCTGTTAAAGGCCAGTTTCGTTTGCATTGTACACGTTTTCATCATCAAAAGCAGTTAAAAGTTCAGGAAGTCGATCGTTCAGCCAATGTTCACAAACTGCTCTGTCCGCGGAACTCCGTTCGCCATGCACACGTTTATACATAATTTGATTTCTGTTCTTCCATCTTTGCAACCATCCTTCTTTGGCAGCAAAGAGTTTATCATGTCTTTCCCCGAATTCCTCTGCCTTTTTCTTCAGAAGCGGGCCTGTAGCTGCTTGGTTGTGCTCACGAACCGATATAATCCCGTCTTTAAATGCAGGTTCAACTTCTTAATCCTTTCTACATTACTTTCTTTTCTGAGAGCTTGTGGTGCCATGCGACAAATTCTGCTGAAGTTCCTTTTCGCCGGCAATCAACCTGGCTAGAGTACGACGAGAAATACGTAAATCATGCGAAAACTTAGCCTGTAAGGTTCCTGGTGGAGACGTTTTAATTTTCTTCAAAACGTCCAACTTCTCTGTCAAGGGCAAATCTTTTCTCTTAGTGGCCATACTTATGTGCAACCAATAGAGTACTGACAAATGTGAAGCGGAAACATTACCCAACTTTCCTCAGTTCTCGAGTTTTGAATAGATCCGAAGTTTTGCCCACAGCCGTATGTACATTTCATTAATATGAATCAATAGCAGAAATCATTTCAGGGTAAAGAATTCTTTTCGGTAAATCTCATCAGACCCAAACTTTTACATAACAGTGATTGTGGATATAGCGTCAACTGGGGCTGGGATTGACTTCTTGACTGTTTGAATGACCAAAATCGATAACTTGAGACAGAGATAGAGACGGTAGACCAAGTAAACTAAATAAACATATGTACACAATTCTCATTAGTACAAGGTAATTAAGTAGGTAAGATGACGTCCAAATAACTAAGTAACGGTGTCCGTTGGCCAAGGTAGTAATATCGGCCGTATAAATCGTTTTTGGACACATAATTCCGGCTTTAGATGGTGAATGTACATAGCCTCGGCGATGGCTAAGAGCTGTTTGCGGAATCCTTGGGAGAAGTGTTCAGGTAATGAGTAAATGACTTTGAAGTCATTCTCCGGAGCTGTATGGCCACATTCAAGGAGGTGCGACATGATAGAGCTGTCTGAAGACCTCATTTCGCCTCTGTAAAACCATGCCGGGATGTGTTCACGAACCCTCTGAAATAGGCGTCTCGTCGTGCGACCCACGTATCGTGCACCACAGGAGCACGAGTACTGATAAATGATCATTGAACGGGTCAATGGCGGTAGTCTATCCTTCAAGGGTTTTGTAAGCAACGGCTTGTTGTGAAAAACGATTCTCAGGCGGGCCGCGAAATAAGTTTTCTCGACAGCATCTTTCAGGCGTCTGGATAACATATCAGCTGCAGAATCGCCCTTAAAGGGTACATGTATGAAAAGCTCTTTCTTAGGAGCAATGCTCCTAGGTGGCTTTCGATTACGTTCCTTCAAATGTTTCATGATAAATTTATCCGGATAGCCATTTTCCCTGAGGGCGTCGCTGATTCTCTGTAGTTCTTCGTTGACGGTATCCGGTGTACAAATACTGCGCGCCCTGAAGGCGAGAGATCTGATTAAACTCCGCTTGTGCTGTAGTGGTACTGCGATGGGAAGGGTGGTGATCTGCCCAGTCCATGTGTGCTTTCTGTGTACCTTTCTGCTGCATGATCCGTCTGCGTTACGGATAACTTCTACATCCAAGAAAGGTAACCGGTTTCCGAGTTCGTGTTCACAAGTGAAATGAAGATTCTTGTATGCGTCATTGAAAACTTTCAGCAACTGTTCCGCATGCTTTTCGGATTTGCAAAGTACGAAGGTGTCATCCACATACCGTACGTACATTTCAGTTTCACGGATGTGCGTTGCAAGTGGGCCATGTTCCAATTTCGCCATGAATATATCAGCCAGCAGCGGCCCCAAAGGAGATCCCATGGCCACTCCGTCAATCTGACGGTACATTTCACCATTGAAAGTGAACTGAACATTTAACGTGCAACGAAGTAACACCTCCTTTAGCAAAGTCTCCGGAAAAGTTGTGTATATGGGCAGTTGCCGAGCAAGCTCGCATACGTAATCCACGGTTTCGAGCAATGGAATGTTTGTGAACAACGACTGGGCATCGAATGATATCATCCTTTTGTTAACAAGGTTGCTTTCAGATATCCTCTCAATGAATTCGAACGTGTCTCTCACGCAGTAAGTACAAACCAAATTCCGTAACGGCTGCAGCTTCGCCACCATCCACTGGGACAACAAATGCTGAGGAGAACCCACCATGTCCAAGATTGGGCGCATTGGGGCGCCTTCCTTGTGAACTTTAGGTAGGCCATATAATCTCGGTAGGTGTCCACCTGAAGGCTTCAGCTTTTCGAATTCCTTCTTCGTGATGAGTTTGGCTTGCATCATTCGCCTGAGGCAGCCGGTTAGCTGTTTCTCTACCTCTCCTGTGTTGTCTTTTCCTGTTATGAGCCTCTGAAACTTACTCTCATCACTGAGGATGTGTTGCATTTTATGGATATAATCCACCCTATCCATTAACACTATGCCAGAGCCCTTGTCTGGCTTAGAGATTATTAATTCGTTGTTTAACCGTAGCTCTTTAAGTGACTGGATTTGTTTCCTAGTGATAATACTATTACTAGATGGTTTGGTCCTAACGTATTCCTGACAACTATGAACTAGGCTAGATTTTAGATTCTCAACATCACTTGATGAGGTTGGAAGCAGGTCTTTAGTCTGAGTAATTAGGCTTTCAAACTGCACTTCTAAAGCCGCCTGATCTATTTTCTTACATGGTATGCAAAACTTTGGACCTAATGACAACACGTTCAGCTGCGTCTGGGTTAGTATCACACTTGAAAAGTTAAACACATATCGCTGCGGGTTATTCGGAAATGTCAACTGGGGGACATGGCTATTAAGCGTACTAACCAACTTCTTTTGTTTCCGTACTCCCATTTTCTGTTTAACCAGTTCTACATAATCCTCAAAAGGCTGTCTCAAGTCTTCAGGCAGGCATAACACAGCTGTTAATCTTTGTGAAATGAATCTCTCCAGCTCCGACATCTTAACGCGGATGGTATCCACATAATTGAGTGCATGTCTCTTCAAGGTTTTTGCGTTTGGGTAGAGGCCACACCGCCGTATTTCCTTCCAAAAGTGCTTTGGATAGCGGTTTGCCTGTACGCATTCATTGAGGAATTCCAATTCGACCCTGGATTCTTCCAGCCGAGTATTGAACTTCAGATACTCATTTAGGAGTTTCAATGAATCACGGGCAATGCTGATCTTCAGCAAAGCAATGATTCCCATTTCATTAATATGAATCAATAGCAGAAATCATTTCAGGGTAAAGAATTCTTTTCGGTAAATCTCATCAGACCCAAACTTTTACATAACAGTGATTGTGGATATAGCGTCAACTGGGGCTGGGATTGACTTCTTGACTGTTTGAATGACCAAAATCGATAACTTGAGACAGAGATAGAGACGGTAGACCAAGTAACCTAAATAAACATATGTACACAATTCTCATTAGTACAAGGTAATTAAGTAGGTAAGATGACGTCCAAATAACTAAGTAACGGTGTCCGTTGGCCAAGGTAGTAATATCGGCCGTATAAATCGTTTTTGGACACATAATTCCGGCTTTAGATGGTGAATGTACATAGCCTCGGCGATGGCTAAGAGCTGTTTGCGGAATCCTTGGGAGAAGTGTTCAGGTAATGAGTAAATGACTTTGAAGTCATTCTCCGGAGCTGTATGGCCACATTCAAGGAGGTGCGACATGATATGTACATTTACCTTGCTCGTGTATTGAATAACCTTTTCTAATCTATCAATAATGCCGCCGACATCTGTGTTGTTCTTGGCTCGATCGGACTGTCTAGCTGTGGGTTAATCGTAAGAAAAAGTAGTCAGCGCGGGGGCGTAAACTTAACAAAGCGACAAGAGCACAGTCTGCGCAGCTGGGCAATTAAACGGTGGGATGACAGTCGCAAGGGCAATTAAATGGTGAAAATTTGGCATATTTATGCGAAAAGAATTTGTATTTTGAAAAACTAGGCAATGAAGCAGGGTTGGCTAAAAACCGGCTGGGCCATAAAGCGGGTTCGGATGTACCAACAAAAAGAGACTTACGATCCGTGTTTTATTCCCTGGACTAAGTTGGGGAGGAAGCCACATATGTTCACAGCACGCTACAAATTCATCACCATTTGACAACAATCGAATGACAGTGTAGATGTGTTTATCGACGTCTTACTGTTCTTCCAGACTTACCTATGATCAGAATCTACCGAACCACTTCGAAGAATCGATACTGTTACAGGCGTTCTTTGTGGGTGTTCTCAATGACAAGGCTCGAGAGCCACTGCTATACAAAGACAAAACGCTCCTGCCTTGAGAAAATGACTGTGGTATTGTCCGAAAGCGTGTCAACCTTGTTCAGGAACTAGCTGCGTTTTCTTCCTCTAATCAGTTAATCTCACAGGATAAGAACAAAGTCTCTCAGACTAACTGTGATCAAAGCGCATCTCAACTAGCGCAGCGTAGAGCATTTCGTTGTTATCGTAGCGGTGAACGTCCTTCGTCCCCATCTGACTGTCAGCATTTTCATTCAGTGTGCAGTTTTTGCGGCAAAAAATGTCATATTCAAGAAGCATGTCATTCCAAGAGGAAATGACTTGCACCTGAGCAACATAAAGCTACGAACTTTGCATCACCGAGAATTTACACCAGAACTGGAGTAATAGCACAACTGCTTTTAATCGCAACATATCCTCAGAAAAGCCTTCTGTCGTGTCTATCAATTTGAACTGGCAATCTGTGGATTTTGAAATTGCTATCGGTTTTGCAGTTATCCTGATACGACTGCATACCTTGCCACAACCCAAAGTTAGATCCACCAAATATACAATTGCGATCTTACACGGAGCAGATGGTGAATGTGCTGCGCGCATTTTACACGCATCTCCTACCATAATTCAACGAATCAAATGTGCGTTTAGGTTTCTGGAGGATCTGACCCAAACACACTTGGTGGAGACGGAATTAAACCTCTTCCTAACATCATGTCGAACGTCAACTTGGTGGAAACCCATGCACAGTTACCTGATGTCCTGCAAAAATATGCGGTTTGGTTCGATGGGTCTAGAAAAAGTCTTCTGAAAATTGTGTCGCTCATCTAGCGTTGAAATCCCAGGCGATACTGAGGTTTTAAAAAACTCGAGCTGTTCCCTGTGCTCTTCATGATAAAGTCGAAAGTGAGTTGTGTCGACTCTAGCTGGAGGGTACGATTGAACTTTTTTAATATTCGGACTGCGCAACCCCTATAATGTTAGCACTGAAGAGCAATGGTATCATAAGAAAATATGTGGACTATAAAGTTTCAACCAACTAGGCATTAAAACTAAACAAATACCCGCTGCCAAAGACTGAAGATATTTACGCTTCTCTCTCCTGTGGCGAGCTTTTTACCACACTACGTCTGAGCCATACTTACCAACAAATTGAACTCAATGAGGAATCAAGTATATACACCATCGTTAACACCCAGCTTGTAGTATTCCGTTATACCAACATGCCATTTGGGATGAGCTCGGTCCGGACTATTTTCAACGCATTATTGATATACTGGTGAAGGACATACCAAACACATACGCATACTTAGATGATATCCTGGTTACTGGACGCACTATCACCGAACACCTGTATACTTTGGATGTCGTCCTGAAACGATTATCAGACGCCGGGTTGGCTTTAAAAAAGAAAAGCGAATTCCTCGTGTCGAATGTAGAGTATCTTGTGTATCTGTTATCACGAGAAGAATTGTGTCCGTTAAAAGAAAAGACAAGAGCGGTAGGTGAAGAGCCATCACCCAAATTGTTCATGAACTGCAGTTATTCTTGGTTGCAGTTACCCAGTTTTCAAGGTTCATAGGCAACAACGCGTCTACATCCGAACGCAATGGGTACCCAGAAAAGTTTATCCAGAAGCACCTGGAGCCGCAAGTACCGAAGATGAAACTTGCTTCCGCAGAGAAGCACCTAATATACTTATGGCTACCGTTTAATGGTGACGCGATAGCACAGCGAAACACTCCCAAGACTTACCCTAGCCACTGCCAAAACGTACTTTGCAGTCGACTTACGTGTGAGCTTCACCTCAACACCAATTGTCCGCCAGAAGCTGAAAGACAGGATACTGTGGTCGCAATTTTCCTTTTGTGTGTACAATTTCTCTTGCACTTGTCGAGCAAGGTCTATTGGAAAAATGACCAGGCGACTGTCCGTAAGAGCTCGAGAGCATTGTCCAGCTTGGCTATCCAGAGGTGTGAGGAAAAATGTGACGAGCACAGTATTGTCACACTTGGTGGGTACCAACCACAAAATCAACACAAAAGATTCATTCCAACCGATCCACTGTGTGCGAAGACCCCACACGAGAGCTGTCATATACCGTCTGCTGTCCACAGCAGAAGCAATCGCAATTCGGCTCCACAACCCGGAGTTCTGTGCACAGAAGAATTTTGTGTAGACGCTGTCTATCCTGGCCCAAAACTAACACAAGTAAGCAGACATATCACGCTATTCCTAAAGGCTTCACACAGGTCAGGGTAATCGCATAGCCTTAGTGATGAGATATTTGATTTATTGACGCCTGTAATTCACGTGTTCATTTTGAACCTACATAGTTGCAGTTGTACTAGCCTGATGACGATCCACTGAAAACAAGCTTATTCGCTAACTCTTACTTCTAATGTTTCTCGGGGTATTATTTTACAACATCTACATCCGCTTCATCAACTCCTACGTAAAAACCAAACTTGGAATTGGAACAGGATACATGAGCATGCTTTCACGCCAGTAAAATGGATCTTGACGTCAGCAGATCTTGAGCATTAGGACGCGCAAAAGCCAGTTATTCTCTCTTGTGAAGCTTCAACCAGACGGTATTGGAGCTGTTTTACTACACGAACTACCGGATGGCTATCAGCGCCCCATGAAATATGTCTAAAGAACACTGACAGCAGCAGAATGAAATTACTCGTAGGTTGCTCATGAGGCGGCAGCTGTGATCTACGGCACTACCCGATTTCGCCAATATTTACTTGACCGACCTTTCTTGATCGACAGATCATAAACCTTTTGTTTTCCTCCTCGGCCAAGAGAAGAGGATTCAAAAAAATTGCTTTACCCAGAAAGATTCTTTGGTCCCCCATTCTATCTGCATATAAATATAAAATTCAGTACGTTCCCGGTTTGCAAAATACCACAGCCGTTATTCTTAGTCAATTTCCTTTACCAGGGGTACCTTCGGAGGGGTTTACTCATTGTGCATGCAGATGAGTACAAAAGCCAAGCCCATAAACTTATTACGAATTACTCGGCATTCGAAATCGCCACAATATGGAGAACCCAGACTTATTCGAGTAACACTAGAATCATCCACCGACGTAGAAAACGTTATGCTCTCCGCAAGCGCACCAAAACACGGATCCTGTGGGATACGCATCTATCCTGATTGTTACATGTGCGTCGTCCGATAAGCCGATGAGCCGATGACACAGACACTTACAGATCGATTGACCGATAGCTGATTCGTCCACTCTTTTTCCTTGTGCTGATTGGTTCCTTTTCGACTTATTTATCTGGCGTAACCTACAAGCTATCTAGTACAGTTTTTGACACGTCCCATCCGGTGTGTGTTCTTATTCACTTCTTGCGCGGACTAAGGGTCCAGGTGCGATCCAGCAATACTCGAGTAATAAGTATCAGGATGGCGACGGTTGCTACGAGCCCTCTTGCGGGACTGTCATGTCTGTGGCCTGATGGTGCAAAAAACCCTCTCTACAGTCGTGGATATAGTGGAAAACATCTTTCCAACATCAAATGACTCTCTTTCCTGTGTTAAACCCCTCTATCCTGTTATCCGATACCCATTGGAGTATGTTATTCCGCCAAGCCCTCGGATCAGAAAGACAACGTCATTTTGACGCTATGAACTTGATGGTTAAGACCAGTATTGTACACTTAATCCAGTTGTTTGAGGAATTGTGGGGAATCCAACAACGTGTGTTTTCCGCTCGTTATCAGTTTTTCAAGCTACAGCAACGATGCGGAGAAAGTGTAAATGATTTCATCGCTCGCATTCATCAAGCTACACCGGAATGCCGGTACAATACCATTCCCTCAAGTCGGTTTGAAGAAGTCATGAAAATCCAGTGCCTAATTGGTGGAGTTACAGATGATGGTGCGAGGGGAAAATTATTGTCCCAGGAGGAAGAAACCCTTTCCTGGGAAATGGCGTGTAACCTTGTACGTCAAAGGGAAAACCTAAAATCCCAACTATACACCTTCAACCCTCCTCAGCTTGTGGAATGTGTAAACAAACTGTCACCACGGTTATCCTCTGAAAACAGGGTACGGAAGTTCGTCT